TGTTTCCTCTTTCCTCAGGTGCCTGCAGTGAGCAGAGACACTCCTGGCTGTAGCATTCTGGGGCCAGAAACAAACATTTCTGCGTTGCAGGCCTCTGCTGATGGGAGGGGAGCGAGGTGCTGCTTCCTTGGGGGGGAAATCAGCCTCTTGGCTAATGTGGGCCGACCCAGCCCCAAGATGAGAAGGAGTCCCAGTGCCAGGGCGCTTGCTGGGGGCAAACTTGGACCCACCACTGAGAAAATCGGAAGTGAGGTTGTGGGGGCCCAGGGGAATTGGGATTATATACCTGTGACGCTTTCTCGCTTTCGTGTTGGATGTCTGGCTTTACTTCATGATTAATGCCTTTGCACCTAAGTCCTTGTTATAGAGGTGCCAAGGGAATTTACCTCGCCCTGCATTCCCAATCAACAAAAGACTAATGAAATCATCACATCATGGGAGCCTGGTCTTGTAGAAGGAGCATCAGGTCAAGAATCAGGACATTTGGGCTCAGTTCCCAGGGCTGCCACCAACTGGCCTTGCAAGCAGGACATGACCCCTTTTTAAGGCTCCATTTCATCATTAGTAAAATGGGAATTTTGTACCTAAATGGTCTTCAAGGCTCCACTAAGCCTTAGAATTTCATGTATCTATGGTCCTTAAAACAACAAAATAAGCGAATAGCATTGTGGTTGTCAAGGGTCCCTGAGTGGCCTCAAGGCTTCCCGAGTTTTGGCCCTGAGATGCTGAGTGCCTTGTCATGGAGCCCAGGCAGTGTGGACATGGTAGGCAGATCTACGCAGCAAAAGGAGAATGAGAATCAGGCCAGAGGTCACCATTCAAGGGAAGGGTCAGAGGAAAAGAGAATTAGCACACACAGAAAGTAGTATGCTTTTACACAGAGCTTGTATCTGCAACAGAGGCCCCCTTGGGCACAGCCTCAGAGCTGCTGTGCACAGCAGGCGTCTCCTGTGCCTGGTGCAGCCCAATCAATGAGGAGATGGGTGTGGGGCTGATCTGTCATTCACATCACTGGAGGGTTTTGATGGGAGTTGGTGTGGGTGAAAGAAAACATGTTAGGCCCCAGGCAAAAACTTGATCACATCTTCTCCTGGTCCACAACCCTCCTCAAGATGCTTAATCAGGATTCTGCCCATGCCTTCCCTAAGGGATACAGTCACTTCTGGCTGAGAGCCCAGCCTGTCGGTTAGAAGATCTGAAGTCTAAACTAACCTTTCTAACACATCCATGTGGCCTGACTTCTGCTGCAAGCTGTAGAAGAAAAATGTCCTTAGTCTGATTCAAGTCATGAAGGTATTATCAGCCAGTCAGTCAGTCGATGGAAATCTTCCCGGGGCAGGCCCTGCGCTAGGCAGTCTGGGACCACCCACCTCTCTGTCTTCTCCCTCTTCGTCCCCTGACAGTTTTCTCGGGCTCCTCTTCCTCTCTCATCCAGTCCTGTGTGTCCTCCGCAAGGGCTACTGTAGAGCCAGCCCCTGAGAGCTCATGCCAACACCACCACCCCAATTCTGGACTAGGAGCGTCTCCCCTGCCACCTCTGTGCTAGCACTCACCGTGTGAGTGAGCCATACCTGCTCACCATGGGGTCTGCCAGGCCGGAGCCATGTTTTATTTGTTCATTTACATTTTCCTGTCACAGTGCCTGGCACCTGTTGGTGTGGGATAAAGAATGTTGACTGATCCCATGAGTGACTACAACCATGGACAACAGACAAGGTCACCATCTCTATGGTTAACTCCCCAGCAAAACCTTAAACAGTTTATCCCCAGATAACATACATAACATGAGAAATGGTCTTTACTTTTGAGAAGTTTCCAAAGCAGTATAGGTAAGGTAGACTGAGCGCCTTCCTCTTCGTATTCCTTCACTTACACGTAGCCATTTATTTGGCCACCACATCTGCCTGGAACACAACTTGCACAGAGAGGCTGGCAGGAAAGGCCTTCCAGGAACAACTACAATAGGGCCCATCCAGCTCGTAGGTCATAAGAAGAACAACCCAGACTCTCAGACTCAGCCATTCACTTAAAGTATGATTCTAAGAAGCCAGAGTCAGGCCTAGGGTGTGTGTGTGTGTGTGTGTGTGTGTGTGTGTGTGTACAGGTTCTCTTTTCTTTTGTCAAAAATGGTTAAAATGAAAATGTGGCTTCTAAAGGAATGAGGCCCAGGTATTTGAAAAATACACTTTGTTTCCTGGTGTGGCGGGAGGAATGGGGCGTAGGTGTCGTGGTGCCACCGGTGGTCACACTGAGCAGAGGCACCGAGCCACGCACCCTCCCTTGGGAAAGCTTCTTTCGGGAAGGAGTGCCACCCCAGGTCGGACACCTTTCTGGGACTGAGACTTAGATCTCCTGTCTCCATCCAGTCTACAGAGGCTTAAAAACTTGGGATCAATTAGTCATTTTCCCTTCCCACTTTTTCCATTGTCAGCTTCCCAGGACCGTGTTGCCATGGGAGCCTCTGTTTGTTTCGGGCGGAGAAGTTGTCTTTGGCAGGTTTGGGAAGGAACAGTTATTCCTAATAGGTATATAGTAAATTAAACACTCGGGTCTTTCCAACCTTTTCTCTGCATTTCTGCTCCTTCTTACGAATTCCCATCTCTTCTCAGACGACCCTCTAAGACAGGGGTCCTCAAACTTTTTAAACAGGGGGCCAGTTCACTGTCCCTCAGACCGTTGGAGGGCCCGACTATAGTTTAAAAAAAAACTATGAACAAATTCCTATGCACACTGCACATATCTTATTTTGAAGTAAAAAAACAAAATGGGAACAAATACAATATTTGTATTTGCATGTGGCCTCTGCTCTAAGAGCAGAGTTTGAGCAGCAGCTTGTAGGAAGCCTGTCTGGGTCGTGGCAGTGGAAGTGCAGTGGGACCTAGAAGGTTACCCAGACCACTTCTCTCTCAGTGTGTCTTCCCTCATGTTCTTGAGGTGAGAAGCCATGCTTGGGGAGCATGTAGGAAATAAAGATTTCCCGGCATCCTTTATTCATCCATCCAACTGCTAACGTTGTCCATGCTGCCACCATACTTAATTGTGTGGGAAATGTATTTTGGGTGGTCTCTTTTATAGACAATTGGATGAAAAAGAAAGGAGGAACCGATGATGTTGTGCCAATGAGTCAGTCAGGGTTGGAGGAAAAGGAACAGATGTCACGTTATATGAGGAAATAAACTCCAAACACTTGAAAAAGAAAAACTTGGGGGGGGGAATCTCAATAGATGTATCTGGCCCTCCAGGGAGGACCTCTGGACGTCACTAGGTGTTAGGATGCACTATTACTTGGCTGCAGTGGGAGACCCAGATTCTGATGGTGTAGCTATTCCCTGTTCTCCAGAGCCAGAGGCCTTGGCTTCATGTCAAAGACAGATGCTCCTCTTGGAACCTTTGTCTCTTAAGCCCGGCGAGGCCTGTGTTGAAAACAGAATTCATTTTCACTTCCTGCTCGCTGCCGACATTATTGTGCAGCTGTGCGACAGCTGTTGAGTTCCACCCCACAAGTAGCAGCTTTTTAGTGATCAGCAAAGGGGTACACATCTGGAATGATGCTCAAGTGACCTCAGGACCCCGTAGAGTAAATCAAAACACTGAAGTAATATCTTGGATGAGCTCGTTCTGACGTAACTCAATTGCTAAAAATTATTTAATGGCCTTTTTTAAAAATTTGAGTTTAGTGATCTGTCTCATCAAAGCACAGCAAAATAGAGAATAGTCCTTCTATTTGACATTTAAGGAGGGTGGGGGAGAGAAAGTGATGTGAACATGTAAACTGGAAGGTGGCCTCAGGACTCAGGCGTCTATTGACTGTCTTGTGGTCCAAAGAATTTGACCACGAGATGTTTCCTGAGGCTTTGCATTTGGCCATCACTCAGGATGGAGAGAGCTAATGTGATTGGGTGGGTGGGCTGGCTGCCTCGCCCTCCAGGATGCCGTGGGCCACCATTGCCCTCAGGAGTGGTTCTAGAGAAACAATGCATTGGGCCACTGAGCTATTTTTTTTTAACCGCTTGTTGCTATTCTTATCACACATTCCCTTTTGGGTGAAACACTCCATTAACTCTGGTTTGGCCTGGGCCCCTTTCCCATGTTAGTTCCTGTGAACTCGCAGCAGGAGAGGAGTGAAGGGAAACGGTTTAGCTTTCTCTGCTCCAACCCTATGTCTAGCTGCTGCACACAAGGGGCTGTGCAGGTCGGACTGTCTCTACTCCGCACGGGTGTCCCAGACCCGAGAGCCACTGCACTCTGGACAGGCGTCATTTGAGTCTTCATAGAACCACAGGACGGCTAGGATCTCTAAGGATAAGTGCCAGGGGTGAAAGTTATAGTCTGTGAGAAGCACCAAAACGTCAAGGTACATGACTGCTGATCCTAAACTCTGCTTTAGCTGTGAGACCCCAGGCAATCTTTGTCATCTCTGTGCATCTCCACTTCCTCACTGATAACATAGGAATTTTAAAGCCAGCCCTGCCTTGCATTCAAAGGTTGCGGGTTTGATTTCAGGTTGGAGCACATGCCCAGGTTCTGGGTTCGATCCCTGGTTGGGGCGCATGTGGGAGGCAGTTGATCGATGTCTCTCTCACACTGATGTATCTCTCTCTCTCCCTCTCCCTTCTTCTCTCTCTAAAACTCAGTGAAAACATATCCCTCTGTGAGGATTAAAAAAATAAAAAAATAATAAAATGTGTGAAGCTGTTTTGTAGCCTACATGATATAAGGGCCTGTTATTACAAGAATATGAAACAATCCATCAAGGAGTTCAGACGAACATTCTGGACCCCTGAGTAGGCCAGAAGCAGGCTCTACAGGTGAAATTTGATCATTCCTTAGGCCTGATGGTCTTGAGATTTTAACTTCTTGAGAATGGGAGGTCAATTGTGTCATGCCCCTTGGGTGTTCTCCCATAATATCTCCTGAGTTCCGCACATGAAGTTGGGCAGGGCTGAGTGGGAGAGGGGATGAAGCTGAGCTTGGACCCTAAACTCCCACCTCCTTGCCAGCCTTTCCAAGCAGATGGTTGGTGTGATACTATCAACAACCGAGCCTACTGCCGTTACGATGGGGGCGACTGCTGCTCTTCCACACTCTCCTCCAAGAAGGTAAGTGAGGGCACCTGGGGGTGGGGGTGGGAGGGGCAGCCCCAGGAATGAAGCAGATGCCTTGGTTAGCTTTCTTTGGTGTATCACAATTGGTTTTTATTCAACAGTCAAGAAGAGGGAGTCACAATGAGTAAACACTGGGGTTTCTAAAGGGACAGGATTCAGGATAGTGGTGTTTTAAGATAGCTCCTTCAAGAATATTAATTCTCTCATTGTCAGTGCAGCACCTCCTGCAGAGAAGCCCTGGCTTTTGCTCCTGAAAAACTCCCACCTGCTTGCCCTCCAGGAAACATCTTGAAGTTAGGAAAGAATGGCCTCCGCCCCTCGGAGAGGCAGGAAGTAATATCCAGTTATTAATCTTCATAATTAAATTAATCCTATAAAGTGTATTATAAGCATATTGCAAACATATGTTGAATGGCCACCACAAGCTACCTGGAGTCCTCCCTGGATCATATACTGAACACTGGTTCTTTTCTCGATGCCTTTTATTCCTATTGCTCTGGGTTCTATTACATTAGCAAGTATGCTTAAGCTAAGCCTGTAAAATTCAATAGGCTGAAATTTTGCAATAATGTGGATTAAAAAAAAAAAGCCCTCCAAAGATATTTGATGCTAGTTGGCCAATTTAATGAATCAGAAATATGCAAGAGATGGTATTTCTGCCCAGTGTACTTGGACTATTAAAACACATCTATTTTTAACTCATTCAATTGTCCATGCCAAAGGGTAGAATCTCTGCCACTTTACCTCATGTGTCCCGAATGCCCCAATCTCTCTGAATCTAGTTATGGACATCCCAAAAGTGTGTTTATCTGTTGATAGAAGTGCCAACAGTGCAGACTCTATTGGACTGTCTCTGGCATGAAGGAGGGAGAATTACATAGCAGGAAGGCAGTCTAGCCATAAACTGGGTAGAGAGATGCACTGTTTCACCAAGCCAGAGTGTATCCTTGATTCAAGAAAGGCAAGCCTCATGCTTATGAAGATGCCAAGAGGGTTCTGTTGCTCTAAGCACATCCGGGCACGGAGCCCTAGACCTGGGTGATAGGGCCTTGGGTTTCCAGGTGGTGTGTCGTGGCCTTGAGTTAAGTCGCCCAGACTCTCTTGGCCTTCTCTGTGAAGAGAAAACATTGACATTCATCTTACCTACTTCACAGAGATTTTGTGTTGGCAACAATGTGACAAAAACATTAACAGCAACAGTTTTAGACATTAGTGGTAATTTTAGGAGGAGGAGTTACAGGAGCTATAGTTCCTGGAAATGTGTGCTTTATTGCCATCATCTTAAGTCACATAGACATCCTCTGGGGCACTTTGCTGCCGTCCTCCCCACCTCATCTTCTCCTTGACCCTCAGGTCATCCCATTCGCTGCCGACTGTGACTTGGATGAATGCACCTGCCGAGACCCCAAGGCAGAAGAGAACCAGTAACTGCAGAGGAGCCCCTCCTTCCACCCTGGAAGCAGGAAGAAAGAGAGGCCTCCAGGGAAGGAAACAAAAGGTGAATGAGGAAGGAAGTTCCTGGAATGAAGGAAGAGCATGGAGCTTGTGAGGAACGCAGGAGGAGGTCTGTAGGAGCCACCGGTGGCATCAAATAGCTCAAGTAGGGAAGAATCGTAGGCAGTTGATTAAAAATAGGAGAAATATGATAGGTGTACAAGGACCCTCCTCCCTCATTTATATTCTATCCAACTCCATCCTCAACTTCTGCCTACTCCCGCTGGGCACCCTGCCCACTCCTCAGCCCCACCCAACTTGTACACCAGTACCAAACACACTCTTCACACCCAGTTAGAATGAACTGCCACCCTTCAGGACTCGTCTGTTCTAAACTGGCTCCCTGTCATCTGTGTAGTCGCCCATAGTAATAACGAGGTTAGTTATTCTTTATAAGTATTTAAACATATAAATATATTATATATATTATATTTTTTGCTGTCTACTAAGCTAAAAACTATCCATTGTTCCACACATGCTGCTATGAAGTTCACATCCAAAATAAACGCCGAGGGTTTGAGGACAGAAAGGCAAGTCCTTCCGCCATCTTTGTATCCATAGGGATGGGCTGGCTGAGGAAAATAGAGGAAAGAGAGGCAGATTAGATGGGGCTCTTGAAGCGAATGTGTCAGCTAATCATCTTTTTATGAGCTGAGCTGGGAGCCGGGCCCACTTTGAGGACTTGGGGGTTGGAAAGATGACACGAGAAGGCAGGGAAAGTTGGGTGGGAGTACCCACTAGTGGCTGGACCACAGGAAAACTGGACCATGTTTCTTGAGTTGCCATCTGAAAAGAATTTATCAACTTCTCTGAACTCTTAGTGGGGGTCGGTGAGACCCAGGATTTCTGCTCTTCCCGTGCGCTATTCCCAACATGGCTCTCCGCCAGCCCGTCAGTCAACACGTTCGTCTTAGGGCTCCTTCTCTGATCACCAGGATTACAGCAACTCACATTCCTCCTACTTGGCTCCCATCTCCCTCCTTCTGAGTCCCCAAGCCTGGCCATCATTCACAGCCGCATGACTAATTGTTGACTTTCCGGGGAAGAAAATGTTATGGAAGTGACAGACAGGAAAGGCAGGAGGAGATGGAAGAACAGGAAGGGGTGGAGGAGCAGAGGGAAGCCATGGAGAAGAGAGAGGCTGGAGGTAGTCAAGATCCAGGGATGAAATGTGTCAGGAGATGCCACCTTGTTCCAGGCTCCAACGCTGACCACAGGGATCCTTTGACTAACTCCGAGTCGGAGTACTTTCTCTTCAGGCGCGATGTGTCAGATCTGTGGCCCAGACAGTTCCATCTGAACAAGCTATGGAAGTACGTGGAGCAAGGGTGACACTCTGTGGGGAGAGAGAAGAATTTCAACTATTAAGGGTCCTTCCTTCTAGTTGGGTACATGGGCCATACATGCTGTACCATGTTAATCTGCCTCTATTGCATCCCAGGCTTACATTTTTAACATGAGGTCTATGACATTTGTGTTTCTTGGCAACAGTTTCTGGATTAGGCCTTGGGGAATGAGCATCAGGAGCTAATTTCTTGTTTGAGACACCAGTTTATCATCTCAGGGAGGGCCAGGAGCTTGCCTACCCTGAAACTGCTTAACACGGAGTCCATGGCTGTGCAAACAGGATGAGGACATGTGACCCGCCACTATCTCGAGCTACACGTCACACAGGAAAGAAGACTATTCTGGAACAGATGAAGAGGACATGGAATGAGGTGGCTTAGTCACTGGGGAAAGGAAGAGCAGTCTGTCCATCCCAACAACGCTCATCCTTACGACCTCCAACCATGAGGGCGCGGGAGAAACCGCTCGCTGTCTGGGCTCACATTTAGTGCCCAAGAAGAGAACAAATGTTTATTTCTGGGATTCTGGTAGGCTTCCATATGGGAAGGACAATGGAGAAGTTTCAACTCTCCATTAAAAAAAAAGTGTGAAATTGTTTTCTTGGGGAGAGTACCCCGAATTCCTGGGCGGGATATCGAAGTTCTGTGCAGCGTCCCTGCCTTGTCCCGAGATGTGTGGAAGTAGAACTTCCCCGGCCTGGCCCAGCTTCAGGGAGGCTGCAGCGCCCACAGGAGCACCGAAGCACCACAGCCCGTGCCAGGGCAGGTCTGTGCTCAGTGTCCCCCAGGAGTGGCAGTGAGCACGCTTCTCTTTCATCCTCACATAAAGGTATTTATTCTCTGCTGGGGACACCTGCAGTTCCCCATGGCCTGGAGGCCCCTGTGGTGGCTGGAAGGCTCTCGGCCCGAAGGCTGCCTGTCCATCAACTCTGGCCACTCGGGGAGGTTCTTTCAGCCCTTGTCCTGGGATTAGTGATTGAGCTCCTTCGGTCACTCGTCAAGTTGAAGGACTTTGGGTATTAGCTCCCCCTCGCTCCCCAGGATGGTCAGCGTTCTGCGACTCTCACCCACCCATGAGGTCACAGGCAGCCTCTCCCAGGACCCCTCCCATCCGTGTCCTTGTTCCCAAATCACATCTCTGCTTCCTCTTTTCCCTGGTAACTGGGGGCTCTGGTACCCAGTTGCCCAGGACTGGCTGACTGCGGCTTAGTGGGACAGTCTCCGACCAGAGACGAGAGGACAAACTTGTACGTGAAAGGGAAGAGCTGCCCTCAGTCTCCCTTTCCCTTCTGTCCACTATGAGCCATTGGCCCTGACGCTTGCTCAGCTCTGTGGCACCACCAGTGAGTGTGTCAGCTGGCGCCTGTGAGGAGGGCTTGAGGGGAGCACGGTGAATGGAGCCCATCCCTGCACTGTAAGGTAACAGCCACAGCCAGTTACTCTGTACAACTGTAAGGTGTTCATTAAAGAAATTAGCACAGAGCACGTGAGGTGTGTTTGGTGTCTTATTCCCTAAGTCCTCCCGCCACTTCCAGATCGCTTTCCAGGTGCCAGTGCCAGATCCAGAGGTTCGTGACTGATGACTGACCGTTCCTCCCGGGCGCTTAGAAACGAGGAAGTAAGTGGTATGTGTGAGGGAGAGAAACATGGAAGGTCGTTAGATGTGATGATTAACAAAAGCAAAGCGCATGGTAGTGATGTCAAAAGCCTCAGGAGTTATAGCAATAAAGGCAAGAACCCTTTACGGTTCAGAGGAAGTGGGCCTCACTCCTGATGCCACGGTAGGTAGCGTCTGAAGGATGGCGTGTGAAGGATGCATGTGATCTTAGCAGCAGAAAAGGGTGCAGGGGAGAGTCCGGGCCATGGGAAGAAAAGGGTTGACGGTATAGCGGTAGGATGGGAAATGGCTGTGTGTCACTGGACGTCAGTGGGCCACCCAGCTGAGCTGGAAGTAGCAGCCAGCTCACGCGTGCTGTGCGCTTTGCAAACGCAGTCTTATTGAATCCTCACAAGAGATCCTCAACTTCCATGTCCTCATTCATAGACAAGGACACCAGGTCAGGCTGCTGAAGAACGTTCCTTTAGGTGCCATGACTGGACTGAGGGTCAGGCCTGGTTCTGTGAGATGCCAAGATGTGAGAAGGAGAGAGAACGGTGAGTAACAGGCTGTGTAAGGGGCCATGGGGGAAACCTCAAGGTGATGCCGCTGCAAGAAGCTCCCGCACCCATGAAGGTGGTCACGGCAGGAAAGGAGCCAGGAGGAGCCGGCTTTTGAAGAAAGGGCGGGTGCATGGATGCTTTTTTAGACAATTGGTTTGAGAACCAGGTAATAGCTGGAAATTTCACATGCCCAGTGTTTGGCTCACGGAGGAGGCTTTTGTAGCTGGGGATGGCGTGCTGAGCCTCTGGGCTGCCTGACAGCTGGGGATCGCTCCCTGGGAGCCCTTTGGGGAGCACTGAGGAATAGGTAGGTGAGAGTGCGAGCTCGGGCCTTGGCAGGGAGTTGACTAACATAAACATTTGAGAGTAAAAAGAGTATTACCTGGCATTTTCTTTATGGTTCACAAAGTGCTTTCGTATGCTTTATGGCTACCCATGAATTAGGCAGAGCAAGAAGAGGTTTGTGTTTTTATGTTGTTTTCCCCCATTTTGCAGATGAGGACACTGAGTGACAGGTTATTGAGAAATGTAAGTTCATACAACTAAGTGCAGGTTGGGATGGGAGTCCCAGTTTTCGGTCCCAAATGGGATGTGGAATATGCTTGCTTTCCACTACGTGATGTTCCGCCCACGAGGCCCAGCGCAAACCTGACTGAAATGGGAAGGTGACATGTCTTTTCGCCTGCTTGTGTTCCAAGGTGCTCCTGGGTGTCCTTGTGGCCTTTTTGGTAACTGAGGGCAGGACAGCTGAGAGTGAGCCTTTGGGAGCTCCCTCCCATGCCAGGCCCTGAGTATAAGCAGATGCCCCTGCAGATGCCACTCTGGCCAGCTGGCCGGAGCCATCTGGCAAGGCTGCCTTCTCCCGAACAGCTTCCCCAGGGACAGTCCTGGAGAGACGGGGGCTCTTGTTTCCACGGACTGACAACCTGAAATGACAGGCTGAGTCATGGTCAGCTGGAGATGCCCTGGTCGGGTTCAGGCCAACCAGATGGTGAGGGTCTCTGGCTGGGCAGGAGGGCAGTGGGAAGGTCCCACTTATACCAGTAAACAGCTCCAGTGCATCTCCGGGGCTGGCTTTGGGGCATCTCACTGGCTCACCCATGGTTGGCTCAGAAAAAAAGGGGGGCTTGGCCATGGAGGAGGTGCGAATCTTATGTCACCATGGTCCACGCTCACAGAGCCTCTACGCGTATGTATGTGCCTTGGGTATTTGGGTCTGGAACAGGTAAGATTGAGGTTAAAAAATAATGCTTATTTTCAGGTCTGCCCTGGTGTGAGCCTACCTAGACTCAAAGGCACACTTTCTGGTCAGAGTCTAGTCTGGTGGCCAGTGCACCTTGAGGTGTGAGTGATTTTCTACATTCAGCTCCTTGCCAATGAGCCTCTGTTTTTCCTCTTTGTTTTGTGGGGTCCTCGGCTCGAGTCTCTGAAAGGTCGAATTGTTCACTGTAGCATTTCCTTCTGTGGGTCGTCCTGCCTAATCTCAAGTCCCTAGCATTAACGAACCCACTGTGCCCCAGAGCTGTACAATTTCTATCTGGACTTCTCTGACTTTAGCGAAGCAGAAAATACCCACATAGCTGATAATGTCATTGTTTCATTTGATGAATATTTACTGAGCACCTACTCAGTGAACTAAACCAAGTCTCTGTCTTCATAGGGCTTGAAAGAGGTTAAAGGGACAAACAATATACCCAGAAATGTATGTCTGCTGGTTAAGAGGCTATGAAAAAATAAAAAATAAGGTGTGGCTAAGGGGTGAGGCATGGCCAGGTGTGGGGAGGTGCTAGTTTATATAGGAAGGTCCCTGTATGCTTCTGGGAGACGTGCAGAAAGTGAGAGGGTGCCAGTGATAGCTGGGGGCCGAGTAAGCCAGCACAGAGAGCAGCAGGTTTGAGGTGGGAGAGAACTGGGTGCATGTGTTGAGGTGCACCCAGGCCAACTCTGGGGCAGAAGGCGGGAGGGAGGAGTTGAGAGCAGAGTGGGATCAGAGGGAGGGTCTCCTCAGCCACCAGTTGCTTTATGCTTGCACATAACCCACTGCATCTCCATACCTCTCACACCCATCATTCTCCTCCATCTGCCCTGCTCTCCCCTGGCTCAGGCTGCATCAACCCCTCAACAGACCGTGGTAACATGGCCAAGCAAGGTCCCCACCCCTGCCTCTTGCACCGCCCCCCCCCCCCCCCCCCAGCACACTGAGTCCACATCATTTCTTTTAAAGGACAGCCCCCCTTCGAGCCACCTGTGACTCAGGGAACCGAGTCCACAGACTCTGCATGTCCTCATTGGCCAGACCAGTCCCAGCACTGACCTGCCACTGGCTCTGAACAAGCACCTCTTCCCCGTCTGGGGGCACATCCCCCAACCTCCTGCCTTACCCTGGAGTGCCTTCCCTGTCTCCATCTGCCAAAACCTGCTCACTTCCTCGGCCCCTTCTCGTGTTCTTCATTGTCATGAAGCTGTTCTTGAAAATGTTACTGTGTCCCTGAGCCCTTCCTGTCCTCTCCTAGGATACTCGATCTAGTTGATTGATGTTTGGTTCCGTGTGTTCTTGTCTTCCCCCTAGTCAACTGTAAACTCTTCGAAGTCAGGTGAGCTCAGGGCTCCATTAGGCCACTTGGTGTCTTTTGAAGTAGAAACCAGCCCCCCTTCATCAGAGACCATGGCTTGAGAAGTGTAACACAGGTTGGATTTTTGGCCATGTTTACCCCTTGGACCAGGTGGCCTCAGGCAAGCCAATACTTCACATCCCCACACGGGGGCCTGGAAACACACTCTCACTCCTTAGATCTCTGGCCCTGCCTAGACAAAACCTTGAATTTTGCTGAATTGAATCCCAACCTACATTTTTATGGATGTGAAAACCAAAAAAAAAAAAAAAAAAAAAAGGATGTTGTATTGGGGATGGGTGGGTGGACCTGTGGACACTTGACCTTTATTCTTTGACTGGTTCTTTAACAATAGTCCAAGAAGTGATGATAATACTGGGCCAACACAGGAGACTGGGTTTAATTCAGGGGTCAACTTTATGTTGAGGTGTGCTTTAGCCCGGTTAACAAATAGGCACATTTCGGTTTTTAGATGTGTATTCCACATGGGTTGGAAAGAAATAGTAAGTGTTGATCAGATGAGATAGAGACTCTAAGAGACAACCTGACTTGAGATAAAGTCAGGTGATCCTGAGTAAGTCACTTAATGGCTTAAGACTAAATTTTAGCATCTGTAAAATGGAATAATTCCCCACTTCAATGCATAGTGAATGTGAGGTGTCTACCATGGAGCTGGAGCAGTAGGGATGGTGATATGCTGGCTTTTTGTGCACTTTCTGGCTTAAATTTTGAGATATTCTTTTTTTTTTTTAAATATATTTTATTGATTTTTTACAGAGAGGAAGGGAGAGAGATAGAGAGTTAGAAACATCGATGAGAGAGAAACATCGAT